GAAAATGCGAGTTGTTCGTGCCATTATCTCCAAGCAAGCTTCTGCTTCAAACGTCGAAGTTCAGACCGAGCTTCCCCTCTAGTCAGTCACGTGAGATCGTCGTCACCCTTTCGTCTACCAGGGCTACCTTATCTCAGCCTGGCAAAAGGCCACGCACTTCGATGTCCTAACCGTAATGGTTGGAAAATGAGGAGGATACTGAACTGCCTGAATCTGAGTTACTAGCAACCCAGCTTGCTAAAAAGGGTCGGCACTCTGACCGCACTGGTTCCTCTTCTCCACCGGTTTGGGCTCCAACCGTGACCTTTAAAGGCCGCGCTGTGACCACAACTGACTCAGTGGCCATTGAAAAGGACCACCAGCCGGTTTTCAGCTTATCAAAAAGCCTGTGCCTTCTAGCCGATATGGAAAAACACAACTACCTGACCGAACTAAAAGCGATTCGGTCCGTTACCAAGTCGATGGTTCTTGTAAGTCACCCACTTTTATATTTTCATACTCTTTTGCAAACTATCTGCTTGGTAATTCTAACAATTTTAATTCGGATTGCAGGCCATGCATAAAATACCATGTGGCCCACAAACGCGTGATTGAACTGCGAAGGACAGCGCAGGCAACAATAGCTGATGCAGACGCTAAGGCAGCCGAGCTGAAGGAGGTAAAGACACAGCTGGCCGAGCTAGCTACTGAAAAAGAAAGGCCAGTCGAGCTAGTTAGTGCGGCAAAAGCTGATAAGCAGAAAGCCTTAGCCGAGAAAAAAGTCTGTTGGTTGCGCGAACTCGCCAAGATTGAGAAGAAAAAGAACACCGAGATCCAGGAGTAGCAAAAAAAGATGGAGGACGCTGAGGACTGAGGTTTTAAAGAAGGTAAAGACACCTACATCTAGTAATGCGAGGCGGCCAAAGACATCTTTTTCAAATGCGGCTGGAAGGCGGTGGCGGTTGAGCTCGGTCAGGCACAAGATTCTGTTATATTCCTCAATCCCTTTCTCCACTACATACCGAGCTATATGGCAGACTACGCAAATACTGTTCAATAGAAATTCTTAGTTATGGAGGAGGATAGCCTGGCCCCCAACAATGCTCCAGTTGATCTTCCTGTGCGGTCGGAGAGGCCTGACCGGACTAAACCAAGCTTGGTGGTTGAAGAAAGCATCACCGACCTAACTCTGGAGGCTGGCGCTAGAACTGTCCAGGCGAACGGTGAAATCAGTGATGGGGCTAACGCCGAGCTGGAAGGTCTACTCAGTTAACCATGCTACAACTATTCCTCTTTCACTTTTGTTTTTCTGCTATGTATTTGGGCTATAAGCCCTATCCTTTGTAAGCATTTTCTTTTTAATGAAAAATTTTCGATCTTTTTGCTTGGATACTGTGTTTGTTCTTCAATATTGTGTAACATATTGTCTGCATGCCTAGCCGAACTGACCACCTCGGCCATGCCTTCACCTGCCAACCTTTATTGCCGAGATACCTATCTCAGCGAATGAATCCAAAAAGTGTGTTGGACAGTTCGGCCAACTTGTATTGGCTGAGATATTTATCTCAACAAAAGAGGGAAAAATGTTGGTCAAAACCTGCCAACCTTCTTAAGCCTAGATCCTTATCTCGACTATAAATTCGCCAAGAATCTTCTCCGGCGCTCAATAATATGGCTGGTTCCTAATCCTTTCTAGAATTTTATAAATCGGGATCCAGAACACAGTGGCGACTGTCTATGTAGCCCTTAACCCTGTTTCTTGCCCATTAAATCCAGTATTACCTCGGTTTTGCTTGGGCGAGCCGTTTATTTTCTCCTACTTCGGAGCCTTCGTTCCCAGTGTATTATCTTCTGCTCTGGCATATTTCTCGATCCTTGCCATGAGCTCCTCTATACTTTTTGGTAGAGTCTTTGTAAGTGACTTTCGAAGCGTGCAATCATTCTCCAAGCCGTTCTTAAAAAACACGACTGCTAGGTCCTAGTTGCATCCCGATATTCGGTTGAATACTTCATAATACCTTTTGGTGTAAGCCTTGAGGTTTTCACCCTCGCCGAATTTTAGTGCCATTAGGGAGTCTATCCTCAATGGCTATAACTTGTTTGTAACAAACCTGGCCGCAAACATCTCAGCCAAGCCTTATCAACTCTTTTACAGTTCCTTTTGGCAACTTGTGAAACCAATCCGAAACGATTTTCCCAAAAGATGAGGGAAACAACTTGCATATCAACGGTTCGTTCTCGGTATACTAGGCCATTAAATTCATATATAAGCCGACGTGAAAGTTCGGATTGGATTTACCATAATAAATCTAGTACCTCGACATATGGAACCTTTTTGGAGCCTCAAACCTATCCAACTCCACTGAGACTGGCGTTCTCGGCTTCACGGGGGATGTAACCTCAGCATTCTGGCGCTTCCTCTAGAGGTAGTCCCTCAAATCCTCCTTAGTCCGACCAGGAGCTTGGCTATCAACGGATTTCAACCTTTTTGGTGCGCTGCTCCCGATGCCCTTATGCATCATCTTGGACTTTTCTTCATTCACCCTGTCAAAAGAAAGTTCTTTTCCTTAAACATGCCGATGTTCCTTGATATAAGTTCCCTTGGTACGAGGCGTCCTCTAAGACTCTCCTCTCATTGACTCTGTTCACTCGGCATCCTGTGAAGGCCGATATGAGTGTTCCTTCACATTGTCATGCTGAAGGACTGCTGGAATTTCTTTTTGCCCCCCTTTCTGGGCATTGTTTAGGGCCGCTAGAATCGGCGTGTCCTTTAACGGAAACAATGGTTACATGATGTTGTTCTGCATAATGAAGTTGACAACCGATTGTAGGTCTGCCAACTTATTGGCCATTCCCTTCATCTCGTCATCTCTCCTCAAGCATCTATCTTTTCACACCTAGAGGTCGCTCTCGTTGTAATACTCGTCTCAGCCTGCTTTTTTCGGGGCGTTACCCTCATTGCCAACGTCTTTCTGCACAAGATTCAGATCCTATGTTCCTTCATCATGATTTTCTTTCTCGATGTTAGGATCGACATTCTTATCACTCCCATATGGGACGTTGTCCTCGATCTTTTCTTTCTGCCCACCATTGGCCATTTATTCTTCTTATTTTTCCACAGATGACGCCAAATTGTGGGTGTTGATTTCTGACCACACAACCAAACAGAAAATTCAACTGGAGAGCACTAGCAGAATAGATTAAGCCCAAACAACCTCTCACAAAAAGATAAGAATCCGACGATGGTTTGTCCACCCGGGGGCACTCCGACGATCAAGTTAGTAATCAATATCTCTCAAAGATAGCAAATTGCGCTTAAAATCATAAGAAAGAACTTATGGTTCTTAGTATTTCACACCTACCTTAGACCCACAAGGGTGTCCTGTTTTTATAGCCAACACTAACCTAATCCTTGTTGAAGCCTCACTTCAGTGGACTCAGGCTCAATGCTCATCCTGGACTCTCAGCTAGATAGGGATAAACCCTCTATGAGCTTTATCTTTATCTAGACTGAGATCCTTTCTTGTTCTAGGACTCTTGTTCCTTATCCGCTTATCTCAGATTCTGGTATCTCCGCAGATAACCTCGGCCTAGCCGAGATCACCTCGGTATCAGGATCAGGCCACGTGGCACCTCGACTGACACTCCGGTGTTACCTTGGCCACGTGCTGCCACCCACGAAATATGTCCCCAGAATCATCTACAGAAAAAAAAAAATTTAATTTGACTCGATAAAATAAATGAAAACTATATTGTGTTTGTTTAGGGCCCGTTTTGTAAAATCTAATTTTACAGTTTTCTATTTAAAATTACAAAAATTTAGAAAATTGTAAAAAAAAAAAAAAAAAACTTGTTTGGTTTCATGTTTTATTTTTTAAAAAAAAGGTGTAAACAATTGCAAATATTCATAAAAAAAACTGTAAACAACAAAAGGAGGTTTTACTTGTTTATTAAACAGGAAGCGGTAGTCGAAAAACACGAATGAATAGTAAAATGTTACAAAATATGAGATGGATAGGAGTGTAAAATTGACCTGTGGCCCCGACTGAAGCCCAGGGTGGGTCCGACCAGTTTAGGCCTGAGCCCAAGCCCAGCCCGAGGCCTTGGGCCTAGGCCATCATTTTGAAGCTCGGCCCGCTTAAGGCCTACTCAAAAGCCTAGACCGCCCAAGGCCTAATGTTATTTGTAATGGAAAATAATAAAATTTTGATGAAAAAAAAAAAATTATTCAGGCTCGCTCAAGCTTGCCCAAAGCCCGAGCTTAGGCCCGAGCCCAGGCCCAAGCCTAGCGGTCAGACGCATTGGCCCGCCCAAAGACCGAATACCCTTGGACTTGGGCTTGGGCTTGAGCCTAGTTTTTTTTGGTCCGGCCTGATTTTTGGCTGGAGCACTCAAGGCCCGATATAGGCCCGGCCGAGCCCGAGCTCGGATGGACCAGGCCAAAATTATACCCCTAGAGATGGAGCTGAGTTCAACTCTTATTAGCTCCAAAATGTTTCCATTTATAACCAACAATAACATTGTCAAAGGAATCAATTACTCTACCTACCCAAATATCATCATCTACCTCAAGTTGCAAAAACAGATCTACACAAATATCATGTTTTAATGTTTTTGTTTTCAAATGTTTATTTAATGTGTCAACCAAACATGTTATTTATTTATTTATTTTTAACAAATAAACAGAAACATGGTTATAGTTTTCTGTAAAAAAAAAAAAAAATTGTAAATTTTACCAAGTGGGCCCTTATTATTTTCATTTTATTGTATTTATTTTTCAAAAAATAAAGGAAAACTGTATTGTTAAAAATAAATCATCTATTTTTCAAAATTTTGAAATTAAAAAAAAAAATTCAAGCATCTCAAAATATCATAAAATAAAATTTTAAACATTAGAAATTAAAGAGCAATTATTATTGTGTGGTTAGTATTACCTATCTCCAGTTGGGCCGGTCGCTCGGATCTTGGGCCTGTAGGCCTATCCATTCAAATTCAACTTATTTGACTTGAATTTGAGCCTAAAGTCTCGTCAGACTCCAAATCTCAACTCTCTCTCTCCCTCCCTCCCTCTCCATTCTTCAAATCACAGCACCTGTAATTGCAGGTCCCAAAATTGAACCCTAATGGAGAATAAACAATCTGGTGGAGAAGATGTATCATCAGCAAAAGCAGTGTTACTTGGAGCCCTAGCACCTGGTGTTAACGTCCGTACAATTTCCCAATTATTTGATCTCTGATCAATATATATATATATTTTTTAATGTGATCTTTCAAGTACTGATCTTTTGCTCTTTTGATTTCAGGGTCAGACTTGGAATACCCTAAAATTTGCGTTTTTGATGTTGGGTCTTTGTCTTGCTGCTATGCTTGGCTTGGCTTTCTTTTCTAGTGACTTTGGGTTGATTTTTCACGTTACATTGCTTGTTCTAATCACTGGGACACTGTTCATACTTCTTAGCAGGTACTTTGATTTTCAGTAAAACAAAATCAGTTATCTTGTGTAGATTTGACTTCATTGAAGATGGGTTGTTGGTGTTTTCATTTAAATAAAACTCTGCAATGTGTATTTTTATGTATTTTTTTTTAATCAATTCATTTGTAAATATGTGTGCTATTGCATTGAACAGGTGAGAAATTACTTTGTAGAGTTTATAAAAAAAATAAAATAAAATAAAAAATCCAAGTCTTGCCGAAACAGATTTACCAAGTCAAGGGCCCTTTTGAACTTAATTCCCAAACCTCATTTTCTTTTTTGAAGTGTGTTGAAAACACTACTTCAAATGTAAAGTTGTGTTTTGAACACGAATTCATGGAAGTCATGTTTCGAACACACAATTTTAATTGATATATGGTAAAACTCATTAAAGTTGTGTATACTTTGCAAACATGACTTCAAGCTTAATGTCGTGGCCTCACTTCATGAAACAATTTGATTTTAGGAAATAAGTTCAAAAGCACCTCAATTGTGAAACTGTTGGTCATGTTTGGTTTAGTTTTCAGATACTTGTTTTAGATTTTTTTATTTATTTTTTATTTTTTTATTTTTTTTGTAAAAACCAAAATTTAGTTTGGTAAAAAAATGAAAAACAAATTCAAAAGCACTTAACATTTTATATAGTTTTATCTTTTCAGAGAATGAAACCAAACATGGCCGTTATTTTTTTTTGTTTTAAAAACAAAACCTTGAGTTTGGTGAATAACTTTTATTTTGTGCTCCTGTAGTGTCAAGAGGCCTTGCTCCACCACTATTCACAAAATGCTACACTCTCCTTTTGGTAGTAGGTTTTGCCCTTGACATGGATGTCAAGGCTAGCACCTCCACAAATAAGGTTGTAGTATTTTGTGATTGGTGTAGAGTAAGGCCACAAGCCGCTCCAAGAGCATTGAATAATTTTTTGAAATTAAATACCCTACAATTCTTCTTTTTGAACACAATAAGAAAATTTAACAACTTTTATTTTCTTTGCGAACCCCTATAATACCAAACATAACCTTATCATCAACCCACACCCAATTTTTTTCTTTGTGGGTGTTTGGGAAGTGGGTTTTTATATATGTTTTTTTAGTTGTAGGATATTATTGGATAAAAAAATTTTAGTGTTTGGGAAGATAGTTGGGTTTTTTTGTGGTTGGATGTGATGTTTGTGAGAGAAAAAGTGAAATGATTATAGAGTTGGATGTGATATTTTGTTTGGATTTGTTTTTTTTGGTTTTGCAAAAAGTTTGTCTTTTAGTGTAAAAAATCAAAAAAAACCCAACCCACAAACTTCCCAAAGACCACCTTTCTACGCTCACCCATTGTCTCTATAACCCACCTATTTTCTGTTATTTGGGTGTTGTAAAAGTAAAAAGTCTTCTTTGTATTTAAATTACTTTAATTTGGGGGGCCGACTATGCCTCCCTGCCGGTCTACACATCTCCGAGGACCTCCGAAATTTTTTTTATCTGGAAATTTTGTGAGACCATGGCAAAGGCTCTCAAATGGAAACAAGAGGGGATTAAGGGATGTAGAGTTAGATGATAGCACAATCGAGTGTGATTGTGTAGGTCTCTGTTTGTGTGGAAATCTTGGTACATCATAGTTGTGGTTGACTGGGGAAAGTTACGATATGCAAACCTCAATTGAGTAACCATCAAAGAAGCAAGACATTGGAGGTCAAACATCTAATACATGGAACACACCAAATAGAGTGCTCAATGATCTTGTGTAGTGGCCAAATTTGGCCACTGTGTCCCCTTTGGTGTCAAAAGTAGACCTGGCTCACTAAGTGCTGATAATCAAAGGAGAGATGTAATGGGCACTAGGCAATGAAAGGGTGATGAAAATGTGGGAGCTTGTGGAAATGGAGTTTCAGTTGAACTAGATATGGAAAACACACTAAGGTTGATTGTCTTGATGGTGATACACTAGCTATGTTAGGTAAGTCTCCAACATCTTGGAGTTCTTTAGTTAAAGAAGAGATTAACAAGGTGCCAAAATTGAAGTACAAAATAGGTGCCCATAAGATTGAGAACCTGGTAGATGGCATGTACAATGTCTCTGTTGATATCTCTAAAAAAGGCTTTTTCCATTGGGAAAATGCCTTGATTGGGTATTTCATTGATAAAGATTTTCTTTCCATCATGTGAAAACTTTGGCAGAGAAACTTTAGGGAAATTTTCTTAGACAGAACAGGGAAGATAAAGAGAGAGAACGGAGGAGCAAGAGATAGAGAGAGAGAAGAGGGAAGATGAAGAACATGTTATTGATTTGTTGAATTGAAGCTGTAAGACCTATGCTATTCTATTCAGCTGCTACCACTCAACCATTTTGTTTGTGTGTCTATCTATATATTGTTTGAAAATAATAATAATAATAAGTGTGGTCATTATCTATTTTGCTTGGTTAAAATATGTATATATGTAAATATTTAGGCTCTTATTTATTTTCTTACTTTTGTCATTGTTTATCTTATATATAATAGTTAGTGATTGATTTTTTGTATAATTTAAAGTCATTAATTATTAAAATAAAATGTAAAAAACTCAGTTTATAGTGATTTAAAAATATTTAATATATTGGATCATACTTAAAAATTTACAAAAATTGATCAATATTTATTTGTAACCCAATAATATGATCATGGAAAAAAAATATGCGTATCGGTAAGTTTTTTTCAAATTATATAAAAAATAAAAAAAATCACGGTTTCGGTTACCGCAATCGTTACGCTACAACCTTTACACCCTGTAACAGCAACCGCGGCACTGCCACCGTTACGGCGACCGCAACCGCTTTTCAGAATCTTGGGTGATCGTCTTGATGGTGATACACTAGCTATGTCAGATAAGTCTCCAACATCTTGGAGTTCTTTAGTTAAAGAAGAGATTAACAAGGTGCGAAAATTGAAGTACAAAATAGGTGCCCATAAGATTGAGAACCTGGTAGATGGCATGTACAATGTCTCTGTTGATATCTCCAAAAAAGGCCTTTTCCATTGAGAAAATGCCTTGGTTGGATACTGCATTGATAAAGATTTTCTTTCCATCATGTGAAAACTTGGGCAGAGAAACTTTAGGGAAATTTTCTTGAAGATATTGTCTCTATTGATAATGGTTTCTTCATTTTTAAAATAAAAAGTGAAGAGGCTATGGACAAAATTTTGGAAGATGGCCCCTATTATGTTGGGACTAGATTGATTGTTGTTAAAAAATGGCAACCTAAGCTAAACTATCAAAATGTGAATTTTCGAGTGTGCCGTTGTAGGTGAAGTTGTATAATGTTAGAATTTACCTTACCTACTACACTCCACTACCACCTCCACTTCACCTACTACACTCCACTACCACCTCCACTTCACCTACTACACTCCACTACCACCTCCACTTCACCTACTACACTCCACTACCACCTCCACTTCACCTACTACACTCCACTACCACCTCCACTTCACCTACTACACTCCACTACCACCTCCACTTCACCTACTACACTCCACTACCACCTCCACTTCACCTACTACACTCCACTACCACTTTATTTTGTGCTCCTGTAGTGTCAAGAGGCCTTGCTCCACCACTATTCACAAAATGCTACACTCTCCTTTTGGTAGTAGGTTTTGCCCTTGACATGGATGTCAAGGCTAGCACCTCCACAAATAAGGTTGTAGTATTTTGTGATTGGTGTAGAGTAAGGCCACAAGCCGCTCCAAGAGCATTGAATAATTTTTTGAAATTAAATACCCAACAATTCTTCTTTTTGAACACACTAAAAAATTTAAGAACTTTTATTTTCTTTGTGAACCCCTATAATACCAAACATAACCTTATCATCAACCCACATCCAATTTTTTTTTTCTTTGTGGGTGTTTGGGAAGTGGGTTTTTATATAGTTTTTTTTAGTTGTAGGATATTATTGGATAAAAAATTTTTAGCGTTTGGGAAGATAGTTGGGTTTTTTTATGGTTGGATGTGATGTTTGTGAGAGAAAAAGTGAAATGATTATAGAGTTGGATGTGATATTTTGTTTGGATTTGTTTTTTTTAGTTTTGCAAAAAGTTTGTCTTTTAGTGTAAAAAATCAAAAAAAACCCAACCCACAAACTTCCCAAACACCACCTTTCTACACTCACCCATTGTCTCTATAACTCACCTATTTTCTGTTATTTGGGGGTTGTAAAAGTAAAAAGTCTTCTTTGTATTTAAATTACTTTAATTTGGGAGGCCGACTATACTTCCCTGCCGGTCTACACATCTCCGAGGACCTCCGAAATTTTTTTTATCTGGAAATTTTGTGAGACCATGGCAAAGGCTCTCAAATGGAAACAAGAGGGGATTAAGGGATGTAGAGTTAGATGATAGCACAATCGAGTGTGATTGTGTAGGTCTCTGTTTGTGTGGAAATCTTGGTACATCATAGTTGTGGTTGACTGGGGAAAGTTACGATATGCAAACCTCAATTGAGTAACCATCAAAGAAGCAAGACATTGGAGGTCAAACATCTAATACATGGAACACACCAAATAGAGTGCTCAATGATCTTGTGTAGTGGCCAAATTTGGCCACTGTGTCCCCTTTGGTGTCAAACGAAACGGTAATGTCAAGTAGACCTGGCTCACTAAGTGTTGATAATCAAAAGAGAGATGTAATGGGCACTAGGAAATGAAAGGGTGATGAAAATGTGGGAGCTTGTGGAAATGGAGCTTCAGTTGAACTAGATATGGAAAACACACTAAGGTTGATTGTCTTGATGGTGATACACTAGCTATGTTAGGTAAGTCTCCAACATCTTGGAGTTCTTTAGTTAAAGAAGAGATTAACAAGGTGCCAAAATTGAAGTACAAAATAGGTGCCCATAAGATTGAGAACCTGGTAGATGGCATGTACAATGTCTCTGTTGATATCTCTAAAAAAGGCTTTTTCCATTGGGAAAATGCCTTGATTGGGTATTTCATTGATAAAGATTTTCTTTCCATCATGTGAA